GGGAAAGTGCTCCCTCCTCTGGGGTTCTTCACCTGCTCATCTTTTCCTCAGTTATGAGGGCAAAATCCAGACAAGAACCTAAGTCTGCTCTGTTCCCAGGTGAGCATCCCCAAACCAGCTATGTTATCAAGTCTTTTTTGTTTTCTCTCATGCCAAAAGGTTATTAAATTACAATCACAAATTATTTTGCTTTTTTTGCATACTGTGGAATGATACAAACATGAGACACATCCTCTGCACACAAATGCCTAATTTTCTGGGGGTTACAATTCTTGCCTGTCCCTTTTGCCAGCAGCCTGAGGGGGTTTATCAGTTGATAATCTCTCACTGAAAGCTGAGATTTAGGAGCAAGTCCCACTGTTCTATGTCATGGTCAGGATTTTAGCAGCCCGTGGTGTCAAAGGGGTGCTGTTGTTATTCCTGAAAATACTCCCCTTTTACCACTCAGACCAGGACATGAACAAATATTTGCTTTAGAAAAAAACAGTTCACTTTAAAACCCACAGTAGAAATATGTTGTCTTATAGATCTAAGAGTTGACACTCTTAAGTGAGTAAAACCCCCTGAATTTACTTGTTAAAACAAAATGAAATAAAAGCAGTTAGTAGCAAACAGCTATGGAAGGAAGGGCTGGGAGTAGTTGGGCTGGTGATGCTGGGAAGGAAGGGAATTGCACCTACAGCACTTCCCCCAGGGTGTGTCAAACAGCCTGGGCTGACACCTGAGCACGACTTCCAGGCTGTAAGAGATGGAGGGCACCAGTTTGTCAGAAGAACAGGTCAAACCTGACAGCAGGAACCATTCTTCACATCCTTATTTCTCTTTGCAGGAGGTGTTTTTTGATAACATTGTGTGTAAAGGAAGGAGCTGTCTCCTCCTGGCTTGGATCATTTAATGGCATTATAGGCTGTAAAGGCACCTGTTCAGGGCTGGAGGAGAAGGAACAGGACCTTTTCCTTTCTGTGGCAGAACAAGGCTTTAATGGTCTGGTGGAGGTAATTCTGTATGGCAAAGGAAGTTGATAAAATAGAACATAAACTTCTCCAATAGAGGATTTAATTACCAGGAAAGCCAGATTGAATAAAGCATTTGAGCAGAACTATTTCATTGGTGAAAAGGCAGTAATTATTAATCCCCCTTTTCCAAGGCCATGTCATTTATTCAGGAGGCCTTGGAGTAGTAAGAAACCACATGTTTATATGTGTGCATTTGCTTGTATGTCTTTGAGTTGTTTGATTTTTTTTATTTTTTTTTTATTTTTTTTTTTTTGGTTTGCACCCAAGCAGACTGTAACTATGCTTTAAAAAAATCTCAGATTTTCTCTGACTTCACTCAGATTTCCAGCTAAACTGGTCTAGCCACACGATAAACTGAGAGCAGCCAAACTAATCAGGTCTCAGGGCTGGGCAACAGGCACAATGGTAATGAATCAAAAAGCTTTAAAAGCTCTTAGATAGCTGTCCCATTCTTCAACACACAAATGTGTCTATCAAGGTCTAACTGCAGCAGAAGGACTCATTTATTTTATTTCAGAAACTGCACTTTTGTGAAGCTCTCTGTTAGTCAATATATCAGCTTGTTCATGTTTTATGCTGTTGTTTTTCCAATTTACAGTTGAAAAAGAAATAACTGCCTGGTGATGCAGGGGTGTACATGGACAGGGAAATATCTTTCTCGAAAATTTTTCCTGTTGGTGTATTCATATTTTCATGGTGGCTTCTGAAAGGCTTTGGATATTCTGGTAACAACAGAAAGAAGACTGACAAAGGGAAATCACCTCGAGGTTAAACATTTGTGGGGATGATGTTGTTTGGGTTCAGTGTGAGCTTAGTCTGCTGTGGCTGAATAATGATGGTTCAGAGCAAGAACAATCCAAAGCCACTCCATCAATGAAGCAGAAATCTGCAGAGATGTTCTGACCTTTTCTTCATCACTTCAGTTTTCTTAAGCAGCTTTGTGCAGCGAATCCCACGCAGTGTGGGTTTGAAAAAATGTATTAATTTTTATTAAGAAAGATCTTTGAGAGTAACCTGTAAGGATCAAATTAGAGATGTATCCAGTTCACTCTTCTTCCAGGAAAATACTTTATGGCTTCATCTACAGGAGCAGGCACATCCCTCTCTCAATACAAATGTGTGGTTTCCACAATGCATCACATCCAAACTGAACAAGGAGATATCTGTAGATCTACAGTAGGTGTGTGCAAAAATACATACTAGTATTCTGGAGCACATTCCAATTGATTGCTAAGTCATAGTGAAAAATGGTCAATAAACAGTGAAAGAACAATTTTACTTGGCATTTTATTCACTTAACAGAAACATTCACTTATCAGGTATCACTGAAGTGCAATTTACAGAACTTAGCAGCAAATTCACATATGTAAATTCAGATTTATTTTCTTTTGTCATCTTTTTTGTTTCTTTTCTTTTTTACAAATATTACAAATGTACATCCATTAGTACAGTATTGCCATTCACTCATGCATGTTATGTACAGAATCTTCACTAAAGAATTACTACTGAGCAATTTTTCCTTTGCTTCAGGAAATGCTGTGTGTAGGTCATGTGTGCTTCTGGGATGGGGTCCCATCACACTGTTGTTGCACATAATGAGAAGAAGTAGATATTTAAGGTCATATTCAACCCTAGTGCCAGCAGGTGCAACTCCATTGAGATCAGCTGATGCCCACTTGCAGTGGGGACTTGGTTTGGTCCCCTGTACTAAACTCATTCTGGCAGCTGAATCCAGGGTTGCATTTATGTATTTCTTGCAACAAAGGTTCATTCAATGCTGCCACATTTTTATTATGTCCTTAAAAATAACCAGGCATGGTGCTTTGTTGTCACAGTAGCTGCAACACCAGCCTGGTGGAACTATTACGCATTAGTTGGGTTGACATCATGCCATGGCTGGAGGAGGATGGGTGAGGGCAGGGGGATGTAAGAAAGAGCCATTGAGGTCTCATGTGTGCTAGACAAGGAGAGGAAAAGCAGAAGACATGCTCCCCCCTGTCCTGTGGATCTCTGCATGAGAAACCTTGTCTTCCTCTCTGGCTGCCCTGTGGTTTCTCTCCCTCGGTGGGAGCAGCCAGAGCCCCTGGGGCCACCACTGCCAGTGTCCCCTGCAGCCTCTGCCCCACCTGCAGCAGAGGGCTGGCCCCTGCCCGCTGCCCCTCGGCCACATCTGCTGTCCAAATCACACTGCAGGTCTGCAGCCACAGCTGAGTTAGAGGACAGGAACCTGGAAGCTCCGGTGCCAAAAGTATTCAAATGTTAGTCAGAAGAGCTGTCAAAGTGGTCAAAGTATTGACAAAGTGGTTACCACAAAGTGTTTCCATTATTGAAAAGTCTCAGTTTTTGGTTGCCTTTTTTTTTTTATTTTTTTTTTTATTTTTTTTTTTATTTTTTTTTTATTTTTTTTTAATTTTTTTTAGCTATTTCTACTCTAAGGATATTTTTTAAAATATTTTTGGTAGTTAATATGGAATGTATTATTTTGTTGAAAAGGTTTCTGGAAGGGGAGAGCTTTGTTTTATCTAATTTAAAAATTCTAGTTTATCACAATGGTTTTTATACAAGACACTATAGATACATCTTGTAGTTTATAATCTAAAAATAAAATCTCATCAAAATACTGTAGCTATTCTATTGTGGGCATCAATAAACAATGTATTTACTGTATATGGCTCTCCAAACATGATAAACCCTATACAAAGAGCATCTATCTTTATTGATAGGAACAGTTTCCCGTGTAAAGGAAATTACATGGAAAAATATGAGCCTTGTGTTGTTTGAAAAGTAACTCAGCTTGACAGTTCTGAGAAAATACCAAGACAATTATCACAAATCAGTAGCAGCATGTTATATACAGATTTAAAGAGAATCACAGGAATAAAAAGAAAACAGTAGTTATATACCCGCAAATCCTGTCATCTAAAAACCCAGAAACTTAGAGAAATGTACAGGGTGTTTGAAGGTTGGTTTTGCAGTGGGACTATCAAAGCTCAGTTCTCCCATGACTGTATCTTCTGCATTCTGATGAAGTTTGGGATGAGATGTAAAGATGAGATTGTATCAGACCCAGCCCAGTTATGAAGAAAATATTTAAATGTTGGGTGATACTTGTCTCCTAAGTGAAAAACCCCATCTGCTTTTCAGGCTGCAGATGAGCATGAAGAATAATAATAACACTTGGCATTTACACAGAGCTAGAATCTTGAAAGCTCATGCATTGAGTAAGACCTTACCCAAACCTGTGGTTGTCTCTGCCGTGCTTATGTGAATTGGACTGTGTGAACAGGTAAAACTCACTGCAAGAGTGACAAAAATCTGTCTTACACTGTTGCATATGACCAGAGCATTTTTGATCCTGCCAAGTTCCTTAGATGTGAAGCATTCATTATTATCCCCATTAGACAGGTGGAGAAACTGAGGCAGGGAAGAGACAAATGTCAAATGTGCTCTCTTGTTTGGGGATGTCTTACTCGTGGGTACCCAACCTGGTGATTGTTCAGATGCATGGAGCATCCTGAGCTCAGACCCACTTAATTCAGAGCCATGGGTCATCAGCAGTTTGGAGATCTGAGGCTCTGGGTCCTGGCTGCAGCCTGCCTGACTTTAGGTAGCTTCCCGAAGATCCAGAGCCAGGAGCATGGGCACACTGGTCCTCACTGGCAGCCCCTGCAGAGCTGTGCCCCTCCACAGGCAGCACAGGGGTGAATTACCCCCTTGGCAAGGATCTGCATCCTGGCTGGTGTCTGGAAGGCATGTGAGACGAACTGGGCCCAGACAAGTAAAATTTGCAGCATTCAAATTCTGACTAGGGTTGAAGATTTGTTGTGAAGTGGTTTGTCCAAGGTGTCAGAGGGAGTAAGTGTAAAAAACCAAGGGCATCCTGATGCCTGGCTTTGTGCTCAGAGCCAGCAGTGGAAAAATCAGGTTAAAAATGCTGCATTTCTTTGAGGCCCAAATTTTTTGTCACAGATTTAGGCAGTTTATAGAATGATTTTTGCATAGAGGTTAGGAACCTTTTTTTGGTGGATGATTATGGATGCTCTGAGACCTGTTGTCATGCTGTACTTCCATCTCTGCTCAATATTTTCCATTATTCAGTGATGACTTTTGCACTGATTGTGTGAGGGAAAACAAGAGTCTATTTTGGATCAGACAGGTGGCCCACTAACACCTCAAATCAGTAATAACCAACAGCAATAAACAATAAAAAGCAGAATCTTAGTGGGGGTGGCATTATAATTTGGGCAGGTACATTCTTGGGAAGGGATCATGAAAAAGCAGTTTTCTGAAGTTGAGTTCAGTGCATCAGACACATTTCTACTTATGCATTTCCAATACAGGATTAAAAGCAAATAGTCCCATGGAGGTTGCTATTAAATCTCAAACTGCTTCAATTTTCTCTGCTCATACGTCCTGCCTCGCCTTCTCTCCAGTTGGTTTGATCCAGTCGTGTAGAAAAGGGGTGGAGTGATTTACACAGTTAGTAGGAACTGATCTTGCTCTGGGGGTTTCTTCACCCAGGTGCCCAGGCCAGCTTTCTGAAATGCTTTAAACAGCTGCTGCTTAACAGACTGGTACGTCTGAGCCACCAGCTTTGCCTCACTGTACACTGATGGCATCTCTCCATGGCTTGGTACTCGTGTGCTCAGCTGCAGAACAAAAATCAGGGAAGGGGAAAAAAAATAATAAAAAAACCAACCTATGAGCCAAAAGAAACAGGAGGCTTCAGTAGCTGTATAATCTTCCTGTCTACATTTCATAAGCAATCACTGTGCTTTGTGTGTTTGCTTTTGGTTTAACAAGCAGAAAACCAGGGAAGCAATAAATGCTGGTGACATGGTTTTGAGCCATTGTGAGGAGTGAAGGGGTGGACAGTTCTGCCTTGGAGTGGGCATAGGCAATGGCATATCTTGGTATGTTCTATAAAGGCAGAATGCTACTTCTAGGTTAAGATGATTTTTATGGACAAAACTGAAAAAAAATCCTTTCTGAAGATCTTTAAAGCATGTGCTTCTTTAAAGAAAACTTAGCCTGGGGTGTGCAGAAGCTCAATGCTTCCAAGTAATGCCCAGACACAGAAGAAGAACGATTGCCTACTATACTCTCCCATTTCCCCTCTGTAGTCTCTTATTGTTGGGAATGCTGTGAAACTTGTCCAAGGCGGGGCAAAAATCAGGCATCAGGGTTTGTGCTGGTGTGGGAAATCTGAGTGCTCTGTTGGAACACTGGAGCCACCCACGAGGAGCTACCTCGAGCCATGTCCCGTGTCCAGTGCCCCTGGAAGGGCAGGGAGGCAGGAGGGAGCACCTTTTGCTCTGCAGAAGGACTAAACAAACTCCTCTGACCTGCCCAAGTCTCTACCGTGCCAAACCTGTAGGGAAACACACCCTCAAGGCAAGCCTGAGGAGCAAAGAGCTCTTCTCCTTGTCTCTGAACAGGAGAGATGCTGAGAGTCAGACTGAAGGAGAAGGTGAATGTGCAGCCTGCAGTGAGCTGCTCCTGTCTGTGTGTGCCAGCACTCCGTGGGGCTGTCCTGGCTGGAGCTCTACTGGCCCAATCAGCAAGGGATGGTGACATTGCCAGCCTGGGTCTGGGTGGGACACAAGCTGGCCTGGCAGCAGTGGCTTCTCTCTGGCTGCCTCGTTGTTCCCTTTGCTCCCCAGAGGTAGAGAGTGATGACATTATCAAATCCCTTGTTTTGTCAAGGGCAAAGTGCCCTGCTCAGCTACAAGTTATTTTCTCCTGCTCACTGCAACCTCACCCCTGGTGTGAGCCAGAAGCAATACACAGAGGGACATAGCAATTCCTACTGATTTTTTCCATCCAGCTCTCCCAGCCATAGTTCCAGCCATGGCCCCAGTTTTGTTCCTCTGAGGACCCCTCCATTCTGGGGGTGGCCAGAGTGCTTCTTGCCTGTCTTCCTACCTGCCGGAAGGAAAATAGGCTGGGACCTGTGTCACAAGCCCTGGGCACAAAGCCCAGTTGGTCTCTTCTGCTCCCCACAAGGCTCAGGGTCACTGCTAGGACAGACCATGCCACTGCCTGGAATGGGGTGAGTCTCACCAGCCTCCTTCCCCTGTGGTGTCCTGCAGAGCAGAACAATCCCTTCAGGCTTGTGCTCAAACCTGCCCACGCTGCAGGTTCCTTTGCCTTCCCTAATGACTTTGTGGGTGGAATTGTCTCCAGACTTCCCTCCCCACCATCACTCTGTCCTATTTGTTTCCACACATTTCCCAGTAGGAAAGGGGTTTTGGCACTTAATAAATTTTTTTCTTGTCTTCACCTTCTCCTACTCTCCAGGGACTGCAGGGCAGGTATCGATAAGCCCTCTGCAGCAGCCTTACCTTGCCGTGCAGCCTTGCCCAGCGGGTGAAGAACATGTGCTTGCAGAGCCGTGAGGGGCTCCCGCAGCTCCTCTTCCCCGTGGTGGCGTTGATCACCTCCAGCTCTGTGCTCCCCACGATCCAGTTCACGCTGAAGCCGGGAGACTTCCCCGGCTGCCGGGCGTCAGCGTGGCTCACCCCTGGAGGACAGAGGGACACCAGTAAGCTCCAGTGCTCACTCAGAGGCTGCTCCTGGGTTGTTGTGGCACAGGAGATGCCCTCACTGAACTGCTGGCATCGTGCTCTTGTCACCGGTGGTTAAATGTTACCAGACCAAACACCTTGGAGAGACATAGCAATTCCTACAGATTTTTTCCACCCTGCAGGCAAACCTTCCATTAGCCTAAGGAAAGCCTTTGGATTGGAGTGTGAGCTGTTGACAGCAGTGTGAAGGTTGCTGAGTGGAATCTTTCACAAAGGCTTTAATGGGATAACAGGTTTTTAAAAGGAACTAAGCAATACAGTGCTTTGGCCATGAGTTCTTTCAGGTGAGCTTCCCACAGTCCAGCATATTTATCTATTAACTCCTGGGGCCTTTGCTGTGAGAGGATGTCTAGACCCCAGGGGATAAGAAAACACAAAACAATACACTTCATCATCACAGAGAGATTATTAGATCCAAGTTAATAATGACCTTGTAGCCATCACAGACCTACAGGGAACACTCTTGGTCCCCACCTTGTGTCTGCCTGCAAGATTCCAACCCTGTACTGGAGCACCAATTTCTTCAACAGCTAGTTAGTGTCCTAATGATGATATTTGGGACATCTCTAAGTGGAATGCATCATATGTAATTTTAGACAGCTGCAATAATGTTTACAGTCACCTGGGATGACTGCATGACCTTAGTGTCAAATTTTGGACATCTGAGCCACCTACTGAGCCAATGCCTTCATGGGTGAGATAATGCTTGGCTCTAAATGTAGACCAGGGTGACAAGGTCAGGTGTGGGTGTGTACATTAGTTATTTTTAATCAAGTAAATTTCTGTCTCTTTTTAACTATTTAGTGTAGCTCAACCTTTCCATGACTCCTGTTGTTTTTTCATTTCTTGTGGGGAATGGGGGGATGATTCGTCTTTGCAAGAAAATAAGAGGAATAAAGAAGATGGTTGGCTTATTTCCCAGCACAGTACAAATGCAAACAAGTGAGCTCTGCCTTGCCCTGCTCATTAGTGCTTTTGCAGTGAAGAATCAACACTGGGAGCTTCCAAGGCTGGAAAACACAGAGTGACCTGAAGCAGTTTGAATATTTTTGAAAACATGGACCTTGGATAATGTGTCTGGATCCAGTTGTTGTGTCCCTCTCTGCTAATTTGCTGTGTGGGCCACTAGCCTGCAGACCTGGACAACAAAAGCCAGTGTGGTGAGCAGCAGGTGGGGACTGTGCTGGTGGGCAGGAGCTGCCTGGCACAGCCACCCCAGCACAGGCCAGTGCCAGGACTGGGTCTGTGTTTCCAAATGGCAGCTCCTGCCTGCAGCAGCTCCAGCGACAGCTCATGGTTTGCATGGCTTTCATTGCTGCTGGGTGGAGGGCAGCAGAGAAAGGTCCTTTGCATTTTCTGCTGAGAGGGTTTTAAAGAACTTTTGCAGAGAGCAAAAAGTACTGATATGGGCTGTTCAGAGAGAAGGAGATTAAAGAAAAGAGATCAAAGCCCCTCCTTTCCAAAGTGCCCTTCTTGTCCAGGATCTCATTTTCAAAACAGATGCATGCCATGAGCATCTGCTGATCTGAGGCATAGTGGGTGGAGATGGGGGCTGGTGGGAATGCTGCCTCCATCACTGAATGTGTTGAGCTTGGAAAGCTCCTGGGAAACACCTCGGGAGAAGTGAAGGGCTGTGCAGGGTCTGTCTGGCCTCTGCAGGCAGCTGCTGCATCCTGCCTGCAGCCCCTGTCAGCATCATGAGAAGCAATGCCACTGAGGGACATGCCTCCTCTCTGCCCTGACCCCTCTGCCCTGGGAGGGAGCTGCTAGCACCAAATGGAACTCAGCATGCACACAGAGAGAAAGGTGGCCATTGAAGGGAAAAAATTATATGGCAAACTCACTTTGTATCAGAGACAAAGCTGGAACTGCAGAAATCATCTCAGTCACTGGGACTGAACTCGCTACCGTGTGTAGAAGAGAATTACAGCTAAGTCATAACCTCACCCAGGATTTGTAAACACATTCATGTCATATTAATACCTCTTTCAATTTTTTTCCCCCCAGAGATAACAGATCAGTCTGCATCTAAAACTCCAGTTCACCTAGGCAACAGGATTTGAACTGAGAGCTTGAAAATCAGATAGCTCTGTGGTGCTGCTCGAGAGTCTCTACACAGAACAAGATGCAAACAGATCAAAATCAGCTGTTTGACACTATGCACCACTCTCTGTCAAGATAGCACCCAAAAGCTTAGAGGATTTGAGTGCCAAAAAGCACGATAGCAAACATACTGCCATGCAAAGGGACACTAAATAAATGAAAATGTTGTGAAATCCCTGACTAGAGGAAAAGAAGGAAAGGCTGCACAGAGGGGAGAGCTGGCTGTGTGTGTCCATCATCTGGGGACTGTGACAGTAGCCCAGACTGGTCCCCGTGCCTGGAAACCCCCCTGGGCTCCTTTAGCTTTCATGCCTTCTCTTCCCAGCTATCATATATAAGAACATGTACTTAGGTAAATAGAAGATATTTTCACATAATTTTCTGAATGCAAAGGAAGATGTTTTAAAGAAAAAAACATGACAGACAAATAACAGATATATATAGAGCTCATATATATGTTCTCTGACTGTTGATATTTTTATAATTTAAAAAAAAAAAATTCTTCCATATTTTCTTTTGAAAAATAATTGTTTTGATTTATTTAGAAAGTAACACTCAAATAATCTAGGCTACTTTCTGTCCTCTATGTAAAACATACATAAAATGTTCTTCTTAAAATCCATACAACAAAGAGTACAACAGAAGACAGCAGGATTTGAAAGAAAAAGTCTTTGCACAAATAATATGAATTTGAGTACTGTGGGATGTGAACTGAAATCTGTCCTCTCTCTCCTCTCTCTCCCAGAAAAACCTCATAACCCATCAGGATACCCTTTAAAACAGCCTCAATCTTAAAAGATCAGGATATAAAAAAGGCATTTCTTCTATAAATTATACCCAAGAGTAATCTCAGTGGAAGAGTGGAGTTCCATCTGGCTGGGACTGGTAAAAAACTGAGTAGAAAAACCTCACTGATTATTTCTCAGTGGAGTCAAGGAGTTAATCTCAGTACACCTCATCACACACCATGACTCTCTTCTCCATTGGAATGTTTGTACTGCTATGATCAAGTGGCAAAATAATTGACACCCTTATATAATTTAAGAACTCCTGCAGTCCTGGGCTGGTCTGATGTCCAAGACAAGTGTGGGAGGTGGAGTTTTCTGGCTGAGATTGTCTCTAAGTCTGTAATGCATTTGGAGAAGTTTTTTCTAGATCCCATCTCCTTAGTCACTGGATATGCTGCTGGCAGGGTTTCCCAGGAAGAAGAATTGTAGCATAATCCTCAGCAATGTAACTTTTAATCAGCATCACCTCCCCAGGATTTGTTGAGGGGAGAAGATTACAAATAATGGCGTTAGAGAGAAAAATAATGCAGAGAGAGAGAGAGAGACTGATTCCTCCCACTGCTTCTCCTGGGCTGAGGAAAACCCACAAACACAACCGAAAAGCAAAGCAAATGCTTTTCCACACAGAAGCCTCTGTGAAGGAGGAAGACAGCCCTGAAACATGCAGATATTTAAAGTGACACAAGGCCCCCTCTGATGTATTTCTTATTCCCTTGAAATCTCTGGCAATGACTCTTGGACATACATACACAGACACTCTGGCCAAGTATGACCCATTGCTTTTACTCTTCAAGGCCTACCCAGAAAAGCAATAGCTGTTCTGTGGTGAAAACTCTTATAAAATCCCTTTTTGTGCTTTCAGTCCTTCAGCAGTTGAAGTGGGTTTCCCTGTACATCCTGCATACACAGGGAAATTGTGTGTGCCTTTGATCTTAATGTATGGGTGCACTTACAGTGTGTTAGGGCTGGCACAGGAGGAGATCTGAGATCTGGGAGATGCAGTAGCTCTGGCAGCCAGGGCTGTGTTGTCAAAATAACAGCCAGATTTGGGAAATGGGGAGATATCTCCTGGCCTACTGTGAGTTCTTTCCTCCCTACCACAATGTCATGTGGGAAAGAAGAGGGGCTGAGCCATGCCCACCCTGGACCAGGACAGGAGGGACAGCTGGGGACAAACTGGAGGGAGAGTGTGGATCACAGCTTCCTGCTCACTGGATTGCAGTCTTTGTCCAGCTGCACTGAAGAGTTAAAAAATGGAGATAAGCTGTTCAGAAAAGGATAAGCCTTTTGACCTGTTCACCTTACAACACACACACACATTACACTTGCCAGATGTACTAAACCATACAGAACCTGAGAATTTCCCCAGTGGCTAAACTATCACTTCTGCCTCAGCTAAACAAATGTCATCACAAGAACATATTAAAAAAAAAAAGTCCATGAAATACATAAGGTATAAACCAGCACTCTCCTGACTGAGGAACCTAGAGGACTTTGAAAGGTATGGGGTACTCCACTAAAATGTCCTGACCTCCCAGCTCTGCGACACTGACATCATATTGATGTCTCAGGGATTCCCCCCAAAGAACAACTACCAAAGATTAAAATAAGGATTTAATCCAATGCAGAACCAGTGTCCCTTAGCATTCACAAGCCTCATGAGGACTGGAAGACAAAATTTACAGAAAGATTCCTTCTGTTTTTTAGAAATGTTTTACTTAGCCATATTTTTCTTTTTTCCACTCTGACTGTTCAATGTACAGTGGTTCTTTCCCTAGTCAGTTTGTATCCACTAATGATCCTTTCTTGTGGGTGCTGCTAAGGAAAGAGGAATTAGATTTAAACACATTGGTTTCTTCATTCTTCAAATTCACATTCTTCAGGAAAAAAAGCCCCACAAAGGTCTGAGTTAATGGTCTACTTACAAACAAAAGGCATTCCTGTTGGGAAGCAGCATGACTGGAGATGGGAGGGGGGATTATTTGTCTTGCAGGCAGGTGTTTGCTTACCACTGAGAAGCAGCTGATTGCGCCGGTACGAAGCTGGCAGCTGACCAATGTCTTCTATCCTATGGCTCATTACCCGGGAAAGGTGACCAGTGTGGTAGAGGCTTCCCACAATGAAGCTGTGCAGGTACATGGGTTCGATGAAGGAGCTGAGGAGAGCGCCTTGGAGCCCAAGGATGTTCCATCTGAAAAAAAATTAAAGAGCAGTAAGACACATTGGTGAAGGAATGGCCATACTGGAGCAACGCTGGGAAAATCAGCAAATGCCAGCACATGGGTTAGAGGGATGAGGGATGAAACTACTCCTGTCCCTGTCCTATGATACAGAAAACCCTGTTGGGTTATTATACACCCATGGGCTCATTCCCCCTCCAGCAGGATTTGAGATTACTGTGGCGCTATTCACTTAAGGGATGCCTTTCCATCTTGTATTGCTGCAAACAGAGCCTTCTTATCAAGAGGTGTTCTTTATAAAAGCATTTTGTGTTTGATGGATGTTTTTTTTAGCACGTCTCCAGTAGAATTTTATTTTTTTTTCCGCCTCTATAGTGTTTCACTTGCAATGGTATGGCTAGAATGAGAACTTTTGTTATTCTACCTTTATTTTCTGCTTGTCATACACAACTACCATCCCCATGTTACATAGCCAAGCTAACACATGACTTAGGTGGCCAAAATTACCCCAAAATCTTTGAATGTCTCATAGACTGACATTTCTTTGCACAAATGACCACAAAGATATGAAAACATCCATGAGAATTAAATCCTGGTCCTGAATAGGAAAAAGAAGACAACTTTTAGGAAATGTGTTTGTAATTGGTAGCTTGACCTGCTCTAAAGTGTTCGGAGTGATGGATACATTTCACCCTGTTGTTGCCTTAAAGGTGCAGCAGAGTGATGGTGGAAACCTTGGGACCTTCCACCTGTTGATGGCTGAGACCTCTGTGCTACTGGTGGTGCAGTAGCTGCCAGAACAGTTCTGCATTTTAATAGCCCATGAATTTTTACATCAAGCTAGGCACAAATATGAAAACATGCTTGCCTCTAAATTCTTCAGGGGACAGCTAACTGGTTAATGAGTGGAAAAATTAAAAAGGGGAAAGAAGTCACGACGCAGTTATCTTCTTGGCAAACCTGTTTAGCTCAGCTCATCTAAGAAGTTGTTTCCCACCACACAAACACTAACAGGCTCTCTTACACTTGGATAATATTTTTACGGAAGTTGAACACTGTCAATCTGTCAGAGTAGTTCTGAGTTCAGGAGTTCAAACTGAAAATGCTTCAGAAAATGTAGTTTGGAGAGTATATTTTAGCTCATTAAAACCCGAAACACTGGCAACATTTGGAACTTGGTAGCTGACGGAAGGAAAGGGTATGAGGTGTCTGCTATATAAGGCATCATCCAGTGGCTGCCATGTTAAATAATGTGTTTAAAGCAGAATTTCCAACAGCAGCAAGCATTATGGTGCTAATTTCTTACATCATTGTTCTTTTCATTAATTAACATTTCTCAACCGTTAGTGCAATTATTGCAGTGCCTCTGTACTGTATGTCTCTTTTCATGATTAATAAGGAGTCATTATATTTCCCTTTCCTGAAGCAGTCAATTAACACAGAATACTTTCCATTAATTACTGAATGTTTAAAACCAGCATGCTGTACCTGGAGAGCAATCTGCTCTAGGAACCTGTGACACCAATTGCTATTAAAAGTTCTCTTTAAATTTTATTCCAAAAACACAAGCAATTTAGCTGGCTGTATTAATTTGCCTCTGAAGCAGGGCTGTGAATGAGAAACATCTTTTAATCTCATGCAAGAAAAGGCAGCCATCTGGCTGCTGAGGATTTCAGAGTCAGATTCTCCCTGTCTCCCTCTGTAAATGCAGGCCATTAAAGTAATGTGTTCATCTACATAAAACTCAAATGAAATATAAAAGGTAATATTTATATACAAACAATTTAGTCCCACAATTTAAACAGTCATTGGTTTTATGAAACATTTACTTTAGTTGATCAGATTTGCATAACTTCATTTGGGGAAAAAAAAGTGTGGTCATTTCTGCAAATAACATCACTTTTAAAGGAAAGAACTAGCTGCCTCTTTGAGTAATTAACTTATCATGATGCAAAATTAATAATGCAAGCTTCAGAAACAGAGCTGAATTCAGCTAACAGTACTATGCCTTCAATCAGCATCTAAGGTAAGCAAAAAAATTACACAGATATCTTTGTCCAGATGGAAACTTGTAAGATATCAGTGCTATTTTCAGCATTTAAAATTTCCTTTAAAAAGCCTTACATATTTGATTGAAGGAGAGAAGAAAAGCAGCTAAACAGAAAACAACATATGTTCAACAATATTGGGATTTCAGCAATATGCACATCACAAGAAATCATCTGGCTTTTATTTACCAAAATAAGGGATTGTGTTCAGGTCATAAATTACAAGGTAATAATGATTGTTTAATTTAAATTAATTACAAGGGACATGCCTTTTCTTTAGAGATATTTCTCCACCTAATTCTGGACATATTAATCCTACTATAAAAAGGGATTCAAATGCCAATGGAATTGCATTATTGGAAATCACAATATAAGCATGATCAGGTCACCCCCTATGTATCGAAAGCATTCCATAAACATTAATTAATCCTTCCAGTGCTCTGCTAATGTAAAGTCCCATTTTTTGTACCCTGGACAATTAGGGCAGAAAAGGGGTAAGATCTGGTGAAATCTGTAAGAGTTTCTGGTTTCTGCATGCAGTAGCTGTCCCTTGAGAGAACCCTGTTTTCCCATTCCAAAAGAAGGCACAGGAAGGTGTAGGGGTGATGAAGCTTCTGCATCAGCCATGGTGGGTTTTGACCCCAGGGTATAGAGTCTGACTCCAAGATAAATTAGACAGAGCAACCAGACTAAAAAGAACCAAGGGAAAAGAAACCTATCAAAGAATATGGGCACAAGAGCAAGTCCTGCCTGATGTGTAGAGTGTGGTGCAAAAAGAGACTTTCCCAGTGGCTACTTCGTGGTTCAGCATTGGTTTAGCAGCATCCAGTCAGAGAAATGGGATGAAGAAGCAAAGGAGCTTTGCTTTCAAATCTAGTCCAGGTTTGTCAGAGTGTTTAGACAGTTGTTTGTCTCTAGAAAGCAGCCACCCTGAGCATGTGTGAGTCCCACTAACTCAGCACAAGTCCTAGGAAAGGAGGGCTCCTGTACTGAGCTGGCCAAAACCAGACCCTTGCACTGCCACTGTTGTCCTTCAGAGCACAGGAAAAGCACAATCATGTTGGGAAAAATTTTCAGTTTTTCATTCTGCTGTTGCTGTGTGGATGAAAAAGCCTACCTTGGAGGGCAGCCAGTTCAGTATAGTACAGCAACAATAGATTTTACTGACAAATAATTGGGGGAAGGTCTTTTTATCCTGTGTATTGTTCATCCCTTGACCAACACACATGGCTAATGTACTGACTTGGTCCTTTGATATATGAGCATCTATGGAATTATTTGAAGGTAGATGGTAGAGAAAGATCCATTTGAGCAACAGTGAAGCTATCAGTAAGGGTGTTAATTTTGAAGGAGCTATTGCTCTGTAGCCTAATTTAGGTCCATGAAAGTAGCTGTGTTCTCATCTGTAACAAAGAGCTCTCTTTAAATGTGGCTTTTCAAAATAAAATTATTATTCAAAGCAATGCAGTGTTACATTTTGGCTTCTCAATATATCAAAGTGACTTTTCTCGCTATGAGGAAATATGCTGGATCATTCTGAATTTTCCTAATTGCGCAAGATTTTAAGGGCTGTTTTCAAGGACACGCATCTCTCTAATAACTCATATGCTTTGCACTCTGTAATAACCCTTCCAATAAAGTGAAAATCAACCCACTGCTCCCTTAGTCACAGATCTTGTTTAAAAATCCCCAAATCTTCAGCAGGCAGGATAAATAAAACAGAACATCTCCCCTTCTCACTCAAATATGGGAGCTTTTGGAGCTTTAAATGGAAGGAAAGTATACCCTTCCTTTTGTTCAAACAGCAGATATTACTGCACTGTTTACAAAGACAAAATCCCGTGTCCAGTTTTCAATACAGACAATCCTTAAACAAATATATTTTTGCCTGTTTGTCAATCACAGAAATGCCAGTGCCAAGATGGAAGGCATCCCAGAGCAGGCAGCTTTTCTTTAATTAATTGTAGTGCTCCCCCAGTCCTGGACAAGTAGAGGGCAGGGCATGACCCCCCTGCAGAGCCCCCCTGGTTCCCCTGCTCAGTTCCCATGCTCCTGACAGCTTGGGACCACAGCTCGGTGTGCAGGGAAATGTGTCCCCATGTCATAACCACACCACAGCCCCCACACTCACACTGGAGCATCACCTCACCACACACAGGGCTGTCTATGGCCCCTCCCTTGGACCAACAGTAAAAGGGATGATGAAAATACTGAGGAAGGGGTTTGGAGGCAAACCCACGGGGATGCAGAGAGCTGCAGCCTTGCTCAGGTCAGCACAAGGTTCCCTGCCTTTGCTGAGATGTGATGTGACAGCTGGAGCTTTTTGCTGGTGTTTCTAGATTTGATTTGGACATGGTTAGACCTGAAGGCCAACACCTGAACCCCTCTGTAGCTGAGATGTGGAGAAATTCGCCTGATGCTTCAAAACATCTCAGGGAACTGTGTCCACCTGCCATGCTCAGAGACTGAAGTGTCTCCTAGGGACCTTTGGAAACCTTGCCCATTAAAAAGCATTGCTGATGAATTTCAAATCTTATTTTGATAAGGCTTTTTGTAAAAGACCTTTTTTTTATTAAGAGCTTTAAGTCTTATCCACTTGGTGTGTTGTTAACCTCCTGTACCACAGTTTCTATTACCAATATTTCCAGCTATGCTTCACACAACATAAACTGTTATTCAGGGTGGCATGTGCTCAGCAGGACACCTGTGGTGCTCCTATTTATACGACCATTTAGCTATTATTGGTTTGGAAACTGGAACTAGCGCATTAGTTTTTGCTCTGTATTTTAACAGTGGGTGGTTTATATATGTTTTCTGGAACATACCTTGTAGTGAAAGATTGAAATTGAACTCTCAGTCACACAGAAAGGGGTTAAGAGAGAGAATTACAAACCGTGTGCACAAATCATCTCTAATTGAAGATCTAGCTGTGTTAATTGATTTTCATTTGCATTAATATGTAGCCTTTGAAGTAGCTTTTCTTAAGAGTTACCTTGTCAGGCTCAGCCTTCTGTTAACAATGGCTCTGGTCGACAGGCTAACACTAAAATAGATCTAAGAATGCCAATTTCTAACACTGACTTTTAGTCTTGCATTTTTATATGCTGCATTTAAATACAGCTTAATGTGCTCAACTCACCTTATAAAATGCTACTTCAGACTCCCACTGCTAAATCCTGAAACAGTGCCTTAAGGCTACACTACCTTGTAATACTCTGAATATATTCTCAATAAAGATTCCTTCCTATTCTCTAGCTTGTGGGCCTAAATAATCCACAAACCTTAGCCACAGGACATGGGTAGACTGCTCATGATGTAATGCAAAGCTAGGAGGTCCTCTGTTACCATTTGTGTTGTTTTGTGGGTGAGGTAATTCAGATATTCAAGGTATTTTTTCTACTTCTGGGCTGAATGTCATTTTTTTGGTGAAGTTTGAGGAAGTAGATGACCATTAACCCAGTGGCAAGAAAATACACAGTCTTTTAAAGGTGACCTTTTGAGAAGCGGTAGTAAGAAAACAATTTTAAGGCCAGAGCTTATAAAACAAACACTGCATTCTGGCTTTTATGTGCTGTTTAAAGACAGTGTTTATGAGGATTGCTCCCTGAAAATCCTGCACAATGCAAAGTAAGCTCCTCAGCCTGCATCCTGCAAGGGGACTCTGAAAGAGGACAAGTGCCACTGCTCATCCATTTACAAATAAGTCTGTACAGTCTTTGTGTCTACCAAACCACTGGCAACGGCAAGCGCCAAACCCCTCTGTGCAGCTACACAGGGCAGAACACCCTGCTGTTTTGGAAGGGTTGGCATTGGGAGAAATAATTTCTTTAGTTTTCTGCACGAAGGAGAAGGAACCCAGGGGCTGGTGATGGATAAATAAACTTAATTAGCTCAGAGCATGGAACAGGAAACTTTACACAGAAGGGAGGTGTACGTACTGCTAAATTTGAGTTATGGTGGGCCTAGAGGATGAGCCATGGTGGAAGGAGACGGGCCTGAAGGTCAGAGAGTTTTTCCATGAGTCAGAGGACAAAATATGTCAAAGGGAAGTGGTTTCTCTCCTCTGTGACAGACTCTGAATTTCCCTTATAAGTATGACCAGAGTGGTGATGAACTTAAGAGAAATGCAGAGATCTTTGATATTTTGCCCAGACTTTCATATTTCTTCTGCTGTAGGAATAAGTAGAGACATTTGGAAATTCTGGTTTTATATAAGCAGCCATGTGGACTGTTACCTGCACACGTACACAATGTGTGCTGTGGGAAGCCAGCAGAGGAGATGCTCAGTGCTGGGCTGGCTCTGTGCACCTGGAGACCATGTCACCAAAGGGGACACAGAGAGCCAGTGTCCCCAAGGCCCTGGGGCACCAAGGGGGTGCTGCAGATCCCACCCCTGCAGCTGGCACATATCAGCTGAACACAGATCAGTCCTGAACGCTTCTGAGGGTCAGGGACAGAATGCAGTGCTGAGCTTCCTTAACTTTTGGTTACTGTGTTTAGATCCTCAAAGAAGGGCTGAGTTCTAGAGATATCCTTGCTTCTTTTCCTCTAAATGTGTGTGTTTGTGCCTGTGTGTGCCTGTGTGTGCATATGACAATTTTCCTTCTACCATTTGTCTGCTCCCAAACAGCGACTGCAGAGACTTCCATTAGCAGCAGCATTAACCTTGCACCGACCTTGTAATAAGCAAGGTATGAGCTAGTCCTGCATCCAGCCTTGGTGTGAGACAGGGAGATGAAAAGAGCTTTAATTTGGCCCATTGTATGAATTTTGCTGTCACAAAAAGCCAAAATTCTCTCAGGGCTGTAATGTCTCTGTTGATATAAGGTTTTAATGTAGGTTATGATTGACATCAAGACAACATTAAATGACATACATTTTTCCCCAAAAAGATGATTATTTTCAAAATTATTTTTCCCATGTTATTGCTGCTTTTTTGCAAATGCATACAATATATGTTACAGAGGAGAACGAAGGTCAAAAGGTGTTAGTGTAATTAATGAACTATGGGCTAAAAAATGTGGTTTAATCCTAAATCCTATGGCACTGAGATCCTGAAGTCACTTCATCTGCACTGTGAGGCTCACAAGAATCATGTGTGTAAAAGCTGACACTCTCTTAGGGTGGTTTATTCGGGGATTCACAGACACTGAACTTTAAATTTATACATATAGATGCATAGGTTTTAAAGCCAGAAGGAACAACCAAGATCTAATGTGACCTTGCTTATAATGAAGTTGCAGAATTTCACCTCGTAATTCCCTGCCTGAGCCAAATAAAATGACTATTCATACCAGAAGAGCTTGTGCTTTAATTCAGTGAGGGAACAGGTGTGATTCCAGGGTGTTTATCCCGAGATCTCAACAAAGCCACAGAGCCCAAATAATGCATACCAAGCATCAAATTCTCTCAAACTTGTGGTGATAGTAATAAAAATGGCTAAATGTCTTTGAATAACAAATAAATCTGATTAAACCACTCTCTGCTTATAGCTTTCCTGTGAGCAAGAAAGAACATAAATCGTTAGATACATGATTTATAGAATATTATTCGCTTTTCTCAGTAACTCTGTGCGTTCTTGGGTCTTTGATATTCTGATAGCGATGTCCTTTGCAAATAATGCAAAATGATGTATATTTTAGCAGCTACTGGCTATATTCTCAAGAGGAAACATTCTCTAATAGCACAGTGCTCCTGAGGGACTTTTACAAGCAATAAAATCCAAAGCATACAAGCGAGATTTTTTTTTGTCAAATCTTGCTTATACAAACATGAATTTCAGATTCAGAGATCTCTTTTCTTCTCAGTGCAAGACAGGCCCAGATAATGTGCAACCAGATTCCTGCATCCTGCAGACATTTAAAGTCAGTTACCTATGTGGTAGGGCAAATATTTGCAGTCTGAAACAAGGCATGGACGCCTCCCACGGATCTCTCCAGTAGGGCAGGGGTGGAAAGGGCCCTTGTAGAGAAATCTCCTTTTCCACTCAACTCCTTTCCTGCCTCTGCTCTCTATGACCAGAAGGGAAGAAGGCAGAAAACAGTCCTATATGTGCTGAAACAAAGGACAGGTGAAGAAACCTTTGATTCTTCCCCCTTATGATAAAAAAAATATTGTAGATGGCATTTAATGTGGTAAACCAGAATTTGGGTTAAAGTATAATGCAGATTTTCTCAACCTCTTTTTTAACTACTGGTGAGAGTAAACATGCTGTTGAAAGCAGGGAATAATGATTGCTGGTTTCTTTTTTTTTGTTTTTTTAATCTATATAAATCCCAGGATCATTTGAATTACATTGAAAATAAATAATAAAAATTGCAGGTTTTTTTACAATATTGGAATAATACTGTCAATGATGAGAGCTGCAAACTTTTTTTTAGCTTGGAAAAGCTTTATGGTAGATTCTTTTTTTTCTTCACAGAGTTCAACGCTGTTTAGATGCGTGTCAACAATGAAAGGATTCACTCAAAGTGCTTAGCAGATGTGCTTGGAGAAAACCCAACTCCTGAGACAGTGCATTACTGTCAACATCCCCTTCAATAGGAAATGTAATACTGTTTGCAAAGCTGATATTTAATTCATTGGCTAATGACATTCAAAACCACAGAGAGTGCAATATTTCTATTCTTGAACTTAACATTTTTTAGTTTTTTGAGTCCATGTGAGTCTGAATTTGGAAAACCCAACTGCATCTACATGCAGTGCAGGAGACCCACTGAACACAGTTTGGGTTTTTTGTTAACTCCTAATGAAGAAATGAAAACATTACAGCAGAAGTTGCTCTTTATCCTTCATGCAAGCTCAACAGTTGTGATGCTTACACTTAGCAGAGCATGGATTTTGTGAGTCTGGTAGCATTTCCATTTGTTGGTTCACATTTACATTTTTGTGACAAAACATCAGGTTTTGCTGTTGACAGACTAATTTAGCTTTGGTAGGTCATCCAGTTAAATCTAAGAGCAGAATTTATGCATTTGGATTAAACAAAATTTCTGTGATTTTTTTGGGAAAGATTATGTCTATGTTGGCATTTAATAATTGGGCCAAATTTTTGACTGATAAAATTTAACTGAGTTCTTAGGCATAATATTCCAGCAGTGAATTTGATCATAGCATTTATGTTTTTATAGCTATAATATGATTTATTTTATATGTAGAACTGCATCTACAGATAAAGTACAATATATATATAAAATGATGAAGATAAATATACATACATGTACAGATACATACTCATAGTACAGTAACTGTGCAACCAAGCACACACATTTTGATTTCAGTTTGTGTTAGCCATCACTTGCCATTAGTTAACACCCTAGACTGAGAATGGTGAATGTGTTTACATTTTATTTGTCACCAGGGAATAATTATGAAATATTTACTACATGGAAATTATTCTACATAAATAGATGTTGTATTTACACAGCAGAGCAGAAACCCACAGAGGGGGCTGTTACATGAGGGCTCTTCAATGGCATTCAAAATAGTAGAAGTATTCCTGGTGGCTTTTAGGGCATTTTATTCAATTGGGTGCAGACGAGCTAAGTTTATCTGCATGATAGTTGGTTTGCAAGTTTTGGGGTAAATGATCCAAGAACAGCAAAGTGGATGTATTTTATTTGCACAGTGAAATTCTATTGGCAAGAAAAGCTGCAAAGACAGTTTATATTTTTGTCACACTGTAATAAGCAACTAATGACCCACAGAGAATTTGGGAAAATGTCCTATTTACATTCCCTCCTATTTATATGTCTGCTTTTGCATACAAAGGAGGTCTTTGTTTCTGCAGGGCCTGTCAGCACCTGCTGGCTGCTTCCCACCACTCACCATAATCCTCTGTGGCATCAAGTTTCCACGTGCAAAGGCTTTTGCCACGAATATGCATCACGTACCTGGCAATTTTGTCTGTGCAGGACATGGTGATGAGCTGCTCTCCCAGCAGGACACCGTCCCACGTCTGCGCTGCGTTGTGACACCGCACAGGAATGGTCCCTTCTCCAGACTCAATCTTTGTCCGCAGGTGCCCACGGTACTTCCTCACTATGTGCTTGCTGCTGTTCACTGGGAAAAATAAAAACAAGAATGACAATACCTGATTTTTTTTCTGAAGGACCTGAGAGTCTGTGTTGGTGCCTGCAGAACCACTTGTGAAGGTCCCTTAAACTGGATGTGATATTAGATAATAGCCCAAGAAAGCAGTGCGGAAAAGAAGGTGCTCTTAGTAAGGTTTTCTTTTCACTTCAATCAAAGCTTACACAAAGCACACACTGAGTTCATGTTCCCCTTCTATTTCCCTCATATATTTAAAAGTAAGAGAGGTGCTCTGTCTTTTTAAGAACCAGTACAATTTCTCATTTTAGGATTGAGTTGTGATGGATGAATATTTGAAAAACCTTGGTTCAATGAGTGTCATCAAAGAATCAGCTGCATGATGCAGACCAGTCCAGTACTTTACTGTGATATTCAGTGACATTTCCCAAATTATTTCAGAAGTAAGGTTTTGATTTGTTATCATAAAATTTCACTGAAAAATTCTGAAAAGCTAAAGGTTTATACTCTGGACCAAAAGCAAATCAAAACTTGTTAGCTGTTCATTGCTGGCTGGAATTCCTCCTACAGTCTCCCTGAAGTGAGGTACTTTCCTGCCTTGTGTTGTACCAAGATCTTTTATCCTTCTGTGGTATTGTATATTTGAGTGCAAGGTGCTGGCCCCTGGGGTGGCACAGGGCAAGCAGCTGAAGCACTTGTCCTGCACCATGATGAACTGAGTCCTGCAGATAGGCAGTAAATAAAGAAGATAATGACATTTCAAAAGCACTTCACCTTCATTATTATGAAAAGAGAAAAACTGAAATTCATTATCAAATGCTCTTTACACTGCTACTTTACCCCTGGGTATTTTGGCTATAAAAGAACAGGAAGGAACAGAAAGGAAATCCTCTGGGTATGCTCACTGCCTCACCTTTGGAGAGTTTCACTGGGGGTCACCTTCTGCCTGAAGCAGACCTTACACAGTTTCCCTTTAGCCCAAAGGAAAATAACAAAAAAAAAAAAAAAAAAGACAGTCATGATGGCCTCTGCATTCAAGGAAAAGGAGTGCTGCATTTACAGACATGAAGCTTTTTCCATACTGCCAACTGTCCTGTGTATTTTTCCACGCCAGCTCCTCATCTGGACCAGAAGGCTTCTCCTTGTGAAGGTGATGCTCTGTTGTAATGCATTTAGAAAAATGGTATGACCTGAGACTGCACCCCTGAAATGTAGAATGTAAGCTTCTTTCCCTTATCTCTTTCTCCCCAGTTCTCCTTATTGGCTGTGTGAATGTAATCCACCCTCTTCTCCCTGCCTTCAAAAAGACACACTTATCAATATTCTTCCTCTTTCCCTCCTGCTCTCCTTCTCCACGGGATCCCAAGCACCAGAATAAAGCTGAACTTCCATCTCAGCTAGGGCAAGAGCCTCATTTTTAGTTCCTCTGTTCCATGCTATAGTATCTCCCCTGTTTCTTTGTTTCCCTGGCTGGGTGGACAGTGGTAACAGAGAAACAGGGGACATAGAAATAATAGCAACACTCCTCAGTCCTCACTGGGCTGTGGGGCTGAGTGCTTCTGCCACTGAGTAACACCAGTGTGCCAGAGGTTGTGGGGCTGGTGGCACCTCTGGCTATGAGCAGCTGGCTCTGTGCATGATCCCCAGTGCTGGAGGAAGCAGTGGATTGACTGGCTGCTGCCAATGGGTGGTTTGCAAAAAGGGAGAGCAATAATAAATTGCTTCAGCCTATTGGGATTAGCTGAGGCAGGAAACACATGTAGAGCAGCAAAGTCAGCTGTGACCTGCCAGCACATGGGCAGCTGGGCCCCCAGCAATCATTACCTCTTCTCTCCATTCTTGCTTTTTTAGAATTTAAGATGGGTGTGTGTGTGTCAGCAGCAGGCTGGGACAGGTGTCAAATGGATTGCTTGGCCATAACCAAAACTGGTTTCCACCCAAACTCAATCTCCATCATATCCAAAATATTGTTTGCAAATACTGCTACAGTAATGCTGCTACAGCATCTGAGTTTGGGGAAGAGTGGTTGTTGCCATCCCTATTAGCAGCCATGTCATCCCAGCAGCAGGGGATGTGGTCCTTGTGCCCAGTTGTCAGCACCTCACAAATTGAGACACTGCAGTAATCACCTGGCTTGGAGTATTGTGGCTTTTCAAACTTGAGTTGTGGGAAAAACTGGGAATGGAGTAATAAAAAATAATAAGCAAAAATGCCAAAGTCTCAGAAATGTCTCAGATCCCTCTGTTCTCAAATTTTCTGGTTGTGCCAACACTGTCAGGAAAACATTTCCATGACCATGTGGGCTAATCCCTTGCACATCCCTCTTGTCTGGGATGCTAAGTGCGGTGTAATTCAGAGGATGCTCTTTGGACTGTTTTGGCTGTCTGGGAACTGGTCCATATTCTTCCTGGGACTCTGCAAGGAAGTATTTTTTAAAAACATGAAACGGTGGTGAGCAGTATTTTTTATTATTAAACTACAGAGTTGTGGGAAAGGTACCATGAAATCTGGACAACAAAAGTAGAAAGTGATCACTTCTGCTTAGCAAACACATCTAGCTGAACAACAGTGAGGAATGCCTACCGAAACCACTTTGCCTTTGTCTGCACATACTGAGAACTGATGGCACAGCAGAGCAAGATCTCTGCCAAGGAGGCAGTGAAGAGTGACTCAAGAGGCTATTGCTGTTCTGGCTGGCGGAAAGTGTAACTTTAAGCAAACCAGTTCTCTTTTCCTAAGCTTTCCCACGGGTATAATGAAGATAATGATGCTTCCTTCTTATGCAAATTCATTTAAAGGTACTGTTCAACAGCTATTTATGAAAAAGAGATGCCATCCTTCCAGGAAAGATCTACCACAGGAGTCCACCTACTGGAAATCCCTCAGGACAAAATGATTTTTTACTGTTTCCTTCTCAAACTTTTAAGAAAAATATTTTCTCTTGTTGCACTTTTCCCCTTTCCCATCTCTAGATTCTCCTCTCTTTCTCAGCTCCTGCTCTGAGCTTCCCTTGTAGGTGCCTTGATCTCCTAGATTACTCTCTTATCCAAGCAATTCAGCCTGTTGATGCACCCACATTTCCCATCCATGCAAAGAGGCATGTAGCTGCAGGGAACTTTAGTGACTGCAGTATTAGATGAGCAGCCCATCATTTATGTGGCTTTGATTTCACTACATAAATGTTACCTCAGTGAGGGGCAAAGCATCCCACAATATGCTGACAGAGATAAGGTACAAGTTCAGGGGAAAAAAACAGCATCAGGATTGCAAACAGCTGCTGGGCAGCTGGAGAATTTAAAGCATAGGCCAAAAATGTTTGGGGAGAAGGATATGAAAGACTTCTGTGAGTTTGGGGGGGTCTGTTTATTTAATTTGTGATTTGTCTATCTGATATTCTCAGGACTGAAGGAAGTACAAAGGCCAAAGCACTCTACATCTGGCTGTTCTCACAGCATCTCAACCCTGGACTGCAAGTGCCAGAAACTGAACAATAAAGTTTCTAAAAATCACTTGAAGTGTGCAGGTGCACTGATAGTCCCAGTTCCCAATTCTCACACTGACTCAGCCATGTGTCCAGCTTTGTTCCCTGTCCCTGTGCCCTGCCCAGGGTGCATCTGAGCAGCCGGTGGATAGGATTCAGGCATTTGTGGCCAGTGTACACTCACCCCAGGACACACTCCCACAGCTCTGAGAAGGGGTTTTAGCTGCTCAACTGCTATTAAATTCAATGAATAGGGTGTGACTCAAACCTCATACCGTGCTGCCTGTCTCAGGCTGCTCACATTGCTGGGGTGGTTGGGACACATGCTCCAAAAGATCATCGGTGGCATTTATATAAAATACTAATAACCCAAAGCTCTGAATGCTTTCAGATTGCCAATGATTAAATAAATCCAAATCTGCAGCTGGAACACACTGAGTTCTTTTTCAGAAAGCCATTAAGTAGCACAGGAAGATACAACCAAAGGAAAAGATGAGGCTCTGTGAGTTTTGCACTGAAGCTGCAGACAGACTCCAGCACATAAGCTGCTTGTCAGCAGTAAAAAATGTGGTCCACTTGCTGGCACAGCCTGCTACGGATCATTTTAATGCAGTCTCAGAAATATATTTATTTATGCATCTTAAAGTCACAAACTACAGCCTACTGCTGTTCTGCTGTTCAGTATGATCAAAACATCAGTGACTATAAGCATTTCTGATCTTCTGCTTAATCTCAGCTAATTGCAGGGGAGAAGGCGTCTGTGGATGCCACTTCAACCAGAACAAAATGTCAATTCAAACTGGAATTGGAAAGGACAAATTTAAAAATCATTTGGAGTGGATTTATGATGTGTGTTGTACTCAGATGTGGAAATTACTCCTGAGAGTTCCTAAAATGAAAAGGTGCTGGATTAATTACTGGATTAGAAATGTACACAGACAGGTGCCTTGTATTTAAAATCAGTGAAACCCTCTGATTTCAACCTCACCTCTTATTTTCGTATTTGCTCCAGGACTAGTTCTAGCTCATATGGTAATGAAAAAAAGCCACTCCATATTTATTATTTAGTTAAAGAGTGAAGAGGAAATGGACGGTGATTAAACAGAATCACATGAGTAAGGCTGTGTCTGAGATTTTGCATGACTGCCTCAGAGGTTCATTTTCTGTTTCCCTGCTTCAGTGGAGGCTGTTTTCTCTTCAGGAAAGAAGAAATAGAACAGCCTATCTTGCATTTTTTTCAGTGCTGGACCCTCCCCTCCTCAGCATGGTTTATAAAGCTTCCTTAGAGCAGTGTGAGACAAAGGGGTGGAAAGAAGATTAACATTTGACTGCCTTTGTATTTTGATGGCTATTAGAGATGCACTTTCCTCAACCAGATGCTGACTAAATGTCCAGCATTATTATTTCTGGAAGTGTTGAAGTGAGAATCACAGCACAGTGAACACTTTGGATGTGTCTGCTCTGCTGGGCAGGGTGGCTGGTCAGGTAAATCCTTGTTGCACTGTGCTTTGGTGACCAGCACAGAGCCAGG